TGTTTTGATCATAGCTGCAACATAGTCAATTGAGATCTTGTTTTGTTACTTTGCTCATCATTACGTATAACACATCCATTGCAGCCCTAATTGAGACAATATCAGGACACATCTTGGTGCCTTGTGTTTGGCGCACGCTCAGGACCTCCTGCTGGTGCGCTCCCTGTGCCGTCCAGTGAATGGTGTGGCTGATGTGGTCTAGTGGACCATCTAATAAAATTATGGAATCATTCCAGGAGCATAAGACTTCATCCAAATACCTGGTTTAGGGTTCTCATAAAAGGACCATTTTCTTCTTCATCCTGGTATATTTTCCCATTGATCTTCAAAATTTTATTTCTCCCCTTTTTTTTTTTTTTTTCTTTTTCTTTTTGGAAAAGTTTCAGAATCCAAAACGCTGCTCGATATTGAAGGAAAAATGAACAATGTTGACATGGAACGCTGTAATACAAGAATAGCGGGGGAATTTTTAGCAACCTTCATTCTAGAATAATTACCGCAGGGTTCTGTGTAATATCTTCCCTCAAGAGAAGTGTGATCGCAATTTATAGATGCTGCAAAGTTTTTTGTTTTGTTTTTCAGCAGCTTTTTATTAAGTTGTCATTCTGTATGAGCCATATTTGTAAAAAATGAGGGTCTGTGCACATTTGTTACAGAGCTTTCAGCCATCGGTAGAGAAGACTCATGTAGCATACACATGTATGGATTTAAAGTGGTTGTAAACCCACATTTTGTTTTCTTTTTAAAATAACAAACATGTCATACTTACCCGCTCTGTGCAGTAGTTTTGCACAGAGCAGCCCCGATCCTCCTCTGCTCGGCTCCCCCACTGGTGCTCCTGGCTGCCCCAGGCCCCCTCCCTCCCCCCCCCACACTGAGTACTCATCATAGCAAGCCACTTGCCCTGGGGGCACTCATGCAGGCTTTCTCCTGAGCCAGCTCTTCATGTCCATAGACACAGTGGAGAGAGCCACTGTTCTCAGGCACAGCACTGGATCAAGATCGGGCTTTGGGCTGGGGAGGAGCTGCACTCAGAAGGTTTTTTTCACCTTAAAGTAGAGAAAAAACGAGAGCCTTTTAGAACCACATTAAAGCGTATCTAAAATGAAAAACAAAAATGTAATATACTGCAGCTTACCAATCCATACATGTGGCGATTGCTTTATTTTCTGTTTTAAAGCTTTTTTTTCCCTTTATTGCCACTTGGTGATCTTGCCAGTAATACACCTCCTGTATTAGGGTGGCTCCTCTATCCAAAGAGGAGCAATGGAGACACCCTTGGATAATGGCACTATCTGAAGAGGGTAGTGTTAGATGAACCTGTATATTTTGTGACTAAAAAAATGATACCTGGAGTTCAGATTTAATTTTGTTAAAGGGAGGGATTAGAATGCCAGATTTTTGCCAGGGATTAGCTGCCAGATTTTATTGCTGTCTGTTGGGATTCACATGCATTCCAGAAAGTTGTTCTGGCTACACTCTACTTTGGCAGTGAGGCTTCTACTGGAAGCTGCTGTCCATTAACAAGGCAGGGCTGGATTAGGGGGTCTGGTGGGTAAGTACACTATGGAAGTCATCCAGTGCGGTCTTACAGATATTATTTTCCTTTGACTGGTTAAAGTTACAGCCAGTGTCTAACACCCCCCCCCCCACCCATGACTGGAGCTGGATGGTGCTTTACAGCCCCACTTTAGGATAAGTCTCAACCCCATCCCCATTTATCTGATTGTAATAAGGACAGAAACATTCTATTTAAAGGCCATTTTTCTTAACTTAAGCAGTGGTCACTTGACAGCCTTCTCTTTACTTCCTGGATGAGTCCTTCAGGTGTCACCGTGTCAGTATCTGCATGACGTGGACACTTCCTATTGCATGCTGAGTGACTGGGTCCTCTCTGGATCCAGAAGAGGGCTATGTCATCACAGGGGACCAGTGATTTTAGAGGGGGCATCACAGCAATGAATCAATGGTCCCCCCCCCCCCCCCAGCCTGGATCCAGCTGCAGCAAGAGACCTGAAGGTGGTACTTGGGTGAGTATTTTTGCCTTCAAAAGGTAAGGAGAAATTATTGCTTAGTACTATTATAATAGTTTTGGTCCAGAGTGGGACTTTAAAGGTTTTGCTAAAACTGCTTAATGCAGGCGGAACGATCTGCAAATACTTTGTAGACGCTTGCTGTACTATCTGTTTTTATACAAGCTGGACCCATATGTATAAGACCTAAATGATATTTTCTCAGCAGTCATTATGCAGGGATGCGAATTACACATATAAACACTAGAGCAGCCTTTCTCAACCTTTTTACTCCTGAGGAACCATTGAAATAATTTTTACATCTTGGTGATTAGATAGCAGAGAGGAATTGGTGATCTGTGTGGTGAAGGTCAATTACAAGAACCAATGCCCTGAATTGCTCTCCATGCAGGAGCTTAAAGCTGTGAAATGGAGAGGAGACGAAGCAGCCTTCAGCTGTTGCCTGGATGCCATTCAGGGCATCAGTTCTTGTAATTTCCCCCTTCTGCACCGATCACCCCTACTGTTCATGGACTTCCCCTGCTGCCAGTGGCCGTACAGGCTCCTGGAGCATGGGCTGGGTCGCAATTGTGGCAAAGGGCAATTACAGGAAACAATGCCCTGAATTACTCTCCATGCAGCAGCTTAAAGCCGTGAAAGGGAAAGGAGACGAAGCAGCCTTCAGCTGCTGCCTGGAGAGCCATTCAGGGCACCAGTTCTTGTAATTTCCCTCTTCCACACCGATCACCCCTACTGTCCATGGACTTCCCCTGCTGCCAGTGGCCGCAGAGGCTCCTAGAGCATGGGCTGGGTCGCAATTGTGACCCTTGTGACTCCTGATGACATGCCTCTGAAGGGGAGGTCAATTAGCCACAGCTGAGGGAACCACTAGCAACCTCTGGAGGAACCCTAGGGGTCCATGGAACCCTGGTTGAGAATGCCCTCACTAGAGGGAGCACTTGCACAGCATGATATGTACTACAGTAATTAAAATATTGAACAGTATATAGGTACAAATGGGAAAGCCTTTATGCTACATTTATGTTCTATCTTGGCAGTAGGGGGTTTATGTTTGTATAGGGGAGCTGAATTTTATAGATCAGTGCACCAGGTACCTGGGAAATTACATGATATCAGGAATTGCAATACAGCTCACAAATGCTTTATCAAAGTGACAAGTCTGCGTGGTGCAGCTAGCTGAGCTGTGTATCTTTACAATCTTTCAAGTGTCAGTATAACAATGCTGTGAGCAGGCAGACTCCCTCCTCATTATATATCAATACTTGCAACATGGTGTCAACAGCTTGTGATGTTTCACTGTAAATCTCCATCTAAAAGTGTGTGAGACGCATCACAAACAACCTTTTCCTTGCCTTTATGTTTCCATCTATTTTGTTCTGGTGTTGTAAAGCAGAACTCCAGGCAAAAATTAAAGGCAACAAAATAATGCGACTCTGTATACATCAATACATTATATACATTAGGTTTAAAAAAGAAAGACGTCTATCTGGTTCAACCAACAGAAATAAAATAAATGTATTGACTAAATAGAATCATTAGAAACCCCCAAATATAAAATCCTATACCCACAGTTGATCCAGAGGAAGGGAAAAAGACCCTACATAAAGCATGGTCCAGTTGGCTCCAGTAGGGGAAATATAAATTTCTTCCTGATCCCCCCAAGAAGGCCATCGGATATGTGAAAACTTTTTCTGCACTTAATGTTAGATCTTTTGACTTCTGCTATACAGAGATCATGAGCAAACACCAGAAACACATATTAAAGAAGCCCCCGTGGGGACCAGCTTCACATAGCACTTAATCCTGTTCAGATCCCTTTTGTGGTTAGAAAAATAAAAGCCTATTTCTTTTTGTATGCTGGCTGTAGCTCCACCCCAGGCTGAAGCCCAATTTATGAAGGGTCCTATGGGAGATTTACAACTTGCTCTGAATATCATGATTGTTTTTGCAGCTGTCTAATCATGTGTACTTCTGACTGTGCATGCACATGATGGGGAGGGCACAGCTTACCATGCAGCACCCCCCACCCACCTAAAAATAATGCGTCCAGGTTAGCTGCCCTTCTTGCCCCCACCCTGTCCCATCCAAAGTGTTGGGAGTGCTTTCCTTCTCCATCTATGTACTCTGTGTTGATCCATCCCCCTGTTGTGCTGAGTGATTTGTGCTGGTTCACCTACTGCAAGTGAATGTGTAATGAGTGCTCATTGTGCATTTGTCTCATGTATCTTAGTGTGGTCGAACAGGGGAGGGGTGGTGGTGCTGTTCTGTCACCCTGCTCAGCTTCAATCCCATCTAGAAAGGAGGGTCGAAATGTTATGCACTTTGGGGGGGATTTACTAAAACTGGAGCACTCAGAATCTGGTGAGCTGTGCAGGGGAGCCAAGCAGCGTCTAACTTCAATTTCTTCAATTAAGCTTTGACAATAAAACCTGGAAGCTGATTGGTTTCTGTGCAGAGCTGCAGCTGATTTTGGGAAATCTCCCACTTTGTCTTCTGGAGAGAGAATTAAAGTGTTACTAAACCCACAACAGTAAAATCAGTCTGTATATGCAGTAAAGCATGCTTGTTATACTCACTGTGGAACCTAAGGGGTTAATCCTCTGCATTGTGTACAAAGGCTGTTTGATCCTGACTTCTCTGCCTCTCCTCTTGTTCAAATGTCTGCACTGATGAGACAGACTGAATCCGTAGCCCTTCTGTACATGCTCAGTTTAGTGTGTATTGCTAGAGAGTTGTGTGGTTTTTTTTTTTTTTGGGGGGGAGGGTGCATGTGATCAGCAAAAGACCAATCAGCACTGTCCAGTCAGAGGTCAGGGGTTTTGCATCCTCCTAGAGCAGAAAGAAAACTCCTCCTACAAGCTTTAACAGTGCTCAGCTGAAGTCACAAGACTGCACTAACTGCTGATGAGAAAAGGTATTTAGCAGTTTATATTTACTAAAATAATTACATTTCCATGTTCTGTGTACTGTGGGAGACCAGATATAGTGAATGCAGGGTCCGGGGTTTCCAGGTATAGTGAATGCGGGGTCCGGGGAGACCGGATATAGTGAATGCAGGGTCCGGGGAGACCGGATATAGTGAATGCAGGGTCCGGGGAGACCGGATATAGTGAATGTAGGGTCCGGGGAGACCGGATATAGTGAATGCAGGGTCCGGGGAGACCGGATATAGTGAATGCAGGGTCCGGGGAGACGGATATAGTGAATGCAGGGTCCGGGGAGACCGGATATAGTGAATGCAGGGTCCGGGGAGACCGGATATAGTGAATGCAGGGTCCGGGGAGACCGGATATAGTGAATGCAGGGTCCTGGGAAACCGGATATAGTGAATGCAGGGTCCTGGGAGACCGGATATAGTGAATGCAGGGTCCGGGGGAGACCGGATATAGTGAATGCAGGGTCCGGGGAGACCAGATATAGTGAATGCAGGGTCCTGGTAGACCAGATATAGTGAATGCAGGGTCCGGGGTTTAGTAACACGTTAATCTCTTCATGACTGTAACACACAGATGCGGTGATAGGAAAGGTGGGCTTTAACGCTCAGCTGCCGCATTTGTGTCCATGGCGGTCTAAAGTTTTGTACCTAATCAATAAAGCTTAAAATAAATGGGTCTCACGCAAAAGTCCTAGTTTGGAAGTGAAACCAACAACTTTTACTTCTCTTTCATTGTGATAATCCAGGCAATTATTATTCTGCACGCTACACCATTGTGATTCCTTCACCCGTATTAAAAAAGACACTCAGAAAAAGGGAACGATCTTAAATTATAAAAGGCCAATTGTGCTCTTTGCTCTAAATGTCTAGGATAATTATTGTAGATAATGCTTCCAATATTGTACAGGGCATGACTCGGTGTACTCTGCGGTGCAGCCCAATAAAACGTCTTATGTATGTATAATGACTCCAGTATTACACAGGACACTCTGACCCGATCTAATACAAGAACTAATCGTATCATTACGCTTTATTAAAAAATTGTGGGTTTCATTTTCAAATGCAGAATTTGTCTTGAAATATTTTTATTTTAAATGTTATAGGTTAAGGGTCCTGGCACACAGTACTGATGTATGAATGCCGTATCTTCCTTGTAAATTGTTTCTACGCATAAAACATGAGTATGGTCCATATAGTGCATGTGTACACATGTGTATATATGCATGTAAAAATTCTTATAGCTTTACTATGATCTATTGTTAAAGACGTAGCAAACACACATTTTATAATGCAGGGTTTTTATGACAGAAGAGACCCTATTGGTATGTTCTGCCATAAATGCTTCCCCCTGCCTGTCAGCTGTAGTGTGCACTGAGCCATGCATGCGTAGCGCAGTGTACATTAACAGCACACAAGCTGTGCCGCAGCGATATGACTGCAGGGTGCATGCGTGGGAGTTATGTCATTGCGACCTAGCCATTCAAGGAAAGGAAAGGAAGACCGGGAGAAGATAGAAGCACCTTGGACCCGCAGGATTGGCGACAGCGCAGTCCTGAAGAGCACATTATATCAGGTAAGTCTGTGATAACGGGCTAGTATGCAGCCTACACAGTCTCATAGGGAAATATGCACAGCTGAGGCTGGCAGTCACCTGCTGTGTTCAGGAGGGGGTGCGGGGCCGTCTCCCGGGATTGACTGGTATTGGCATAGACTGTCAGAAGTGACTTGTGCAGATAGCAGAGGATAGAGGCAGCAGACAGAAATCACATCAAGGTGCTTTCGATTGAGGCTAGTACACATTATTGAAGGATATGCTTTGTTCATTTTTTTTTTTTTTTTTTCCGCGGTTTACAACTACTTTACGCTTGCATCCACACCTGAGCAGAGTGGGTTTTTTTGTTTTTTCAGGCGTCTTTGCTCATGTAGCAGGCTTCTGGAGTTTTTTCCTGTATTGGGCAAGGGGAGGAGAGCAGTTCTATAGGGGAAGGGAGGAATTCTTCAGGCCTAAAAAAAAAAGTGCAGATTGCGCATTCACATTCAAGTCTATGGGATCAAAAACACCTGAATATGCTAAAAAAAAAACGTAGGGCATGGCGTGTAGGTAGGGTGATTGAGCATACTGCATTATAGGCGTGAAGTGTGAACAGAGATAGTTGGAAAAAAAGGGATTTTGCATAGTCAAGCATAGGGAAAGGAGCATTAGAAATCTGCAATCTGTAGGGAGGGGGGGGGGGGGGGGGGGGGGTAAAGCTGGAGCTACACTTTCAGAACCATATTTTTATATGACAACTGATGTTAGGATCCTGAAAGCCTTGGATTCCATAAAGCATACAGTTATATCCTTTAGAGCTTCTTCAGTCTACTTTCCGGTCCATTAGTCTGTAGACAATCTGTACACATAAGTGCACTCATTACTATACTAAGTTTAAAAACGTTTCTCATGGAGAGGGACCTCAGCTTTGCAAAGTAAAACATTCAATGGGCATTTTCATCAGAAATGGCAAAAAATTGCTCTTTTTTTTTATATATACCAATAATACTGTCTGATCACGTCTGTGGTGTTCATTTTCCAGCTGAAGACTTCCATGGATGATGAGACTCGGCAGACACAATAGGACCTGATTCAGTATACTCGGCTCACTTATTCAGCCTAGCTAGATGCAAGCAATATTTCTTTGTTCAGAGCAGAAATTGCCGCTCGTGGGCACTGCCAAAAAACAAGGATATGTGCAGCTGCTAAGGAAATAGCAAAAAATGTACTAGGGTCCAAATCTGAAAATTGAATTGAGAAGGTTTTAAAGTGTACCTGCCACCCATCATCATCATCATGGTAGCCGTGATTTTGCAGCACTGTGCCAATACTCCAGACAGCTCACATCAAGTGAAATGAGAATACAAACTATGAATTCACTTGGCTCAAAAGCTGACATCCATTTCACTAAAACTGGTGGTCTTTGACAAGCGTGGTTATAAAAGTCAGTGTTATGCTCGCGCTAGGATCTATTTAGTGCTTCTAAATATCGTCAAAAATTGTGAAAAATAATTATTAATGTAAATAACAATAGTAGCAAATAAATACGACCGGCTGCCGGTTTAAAAAGGTTGTGAACCTCTTAAGCTACATAAATACATAAATCAAGTGCTGCCTTGTCACAAAAATTTTTTTACAACCACAACATCAATGAGTCAATCTCCATTTGTTTCTTCACATAATTGAATCCAAGTGCAAAATTAGTGGAGTCTCTTATAGTGCCATGCAGTATTTCTTACAAGTGCAAATATTTGTGCTGTGCCCCCTGCCAGTGCTCCTCCGCTCACAGTATTATGAAGATTACAAGCCAAATTGCTCATTGGAAGGAACCCCTAGAAACCTCTGGAGGAACCCTAGTTGAGGAATTCTGCTTTAACCAGTTCCCAACCGCGCTATAGCTGAAGGACGGCTACAGTGCGGTTGTCTAGTTCTGGGATGATGTCCATGGACGTCATTCCAGAACACGTCCTCCTGCATGCCCCCAGCGGCGGGCACCCGGCGCCGCCGGTGATCGATGTGTCCTACGAACACAGCTGGTCACGTGATACGGTAAACGGCTAATCACGGCGCCCTTTCACCACGTGATCAGCTGTGTCCAATGACACAGCAGATCACCAGGTAAATACAGTTGCCGGTTATCGGCTGCATTTTCCTCATGCTGTGACAGCATGAGGAAATTACTGCCGAGAATCGGCAATTGTCAGAGAAGGGATCAGCACTGATCATCAGTGCCGCCTATCAATGCCACCTACCTGTGCCTCCTATCAGTGCAACCTCATCAACGCACATCAGTGATGGAGAAAATTACTTGTTTTTTTTTGAAACAAAAAAATTTTTTTTAAAAATTTTTTTTTTGCTCTTTTTTTTTTATAGCGCAAAAAAAACACCCAGCAGTGATTAAATACCACCAAAACAAAGCTCTATTTGTGTGTGAAAAAACATTATAAAAATTTCATAAGGGTACAATGTTGCATGACTGTGCAATTGTCATTCAAAGTGCGACAGCGCTGAAAGTTGACCTGGGCAGGAAGGGGGTAGAAGTGCCCAGTAGGCAAGTAATTATTAAAGCGTATCTAAACCTTAATGATGAACTTCTTCTCTTATTTGCTGTGTTTAATATACCGTTGAATATGGTTTTGTTTAATCTGTTCAATAACTGCAAAAAAAAACACCTGTTGATCTCGTCCCAAATTGTCCAGGGTTTTGTGCGCGTTTCTGTATAATCTCAAAAACAGTAACTAGCCATCCTTAACCGGGACTACAGTATAATAATGCTTTGTTGTGGAGATGAGGAGAGTGGGTGTGGTTGAGTAGTTTAGCAAAAAACAACTGGGCAGAACTGGCACCACTTCGTTCATAAAGATGCCATGTGTTGGCAAACCACAGCAGGAATTGGGAGCTGAGTGTATTTCTGGCACTTCCAGGGTTTTCAAATTGAAAATGTATGGGGACTCGTGTATTTATTGAAGAGATATGCTGCATATGTATTTTTTTATCAATCTTGTCCTGACATACATTGAAAGAGAACTGTATTTATGGCTGCTTTGGGGGTAGGGGTTTTACAGGGACTGTTTATAAATGCTATGGGGATGAGCACTTTTTTGCTGCCAGATTCTAGATATTTGGAACATTCAGCATGGTGTTCTTAAACAACTATAGCATTAATAAAGAAGCGTTACACCTTTCTATCTGTATGGTTCCTTCCAGGGGCGGACTGACAATTCATGGGGCCCCCGGGCAATAGGGGATCATGGGGCCCCTGTGTCCTTGCCCAAACTCAAAAAAACTATGAAAAAGGTACCAGGGGCATCTCATGGGGCCCCCTACTGAACCCGGGCCCTCGGGCAGTGCCCGAGTTTCCAAATGGTCAGTCTGCCCCTGAATCCTTCTAATTTCATTATATTTTCATCCAATGCTATTTTTCAGTCTGTAAATCTTTTCACTCTGCAGGCTAGATGTAATCTGTGATAGAGCTGCATTCTATCATATCTTCAGTATCCATAAAGAATGATAGGTTATTGTTTGGGACATTGTAGAACCAGTAGATCCAGAACAATCCATGAAGATCTCTAGGCACCAGCTAGCTTTGCTTAGGTAAAATTCACTGTTACTCTGTGGGCAATGCTGAGCACTTTCATTTAGACTGCAGTCCCTACAATCGTTGATACCAAGTTCCTCCCCTATTCGTTTTCTTGTTACTGGGCACATTTGGCACCCTTATGTGTAATTTCATGCATTAAAATCTTTTAAACTAGGGCTGGATCATTACTCACACTTTAATTGCTAGAACAACCGCTGTGGTTGAACGAAAAGTGCACTTTTATAAGAAATGTGTATTACGGACTACCTGGTCAACACAGCCTTTTCAAATGCAGAATATTTCAAGGAATGGAGGTGGATGGGTGCCCATTTTAACTTTGCAGTGTGAGAGTGTAAGGTTTACTGGTTTGAAGTCTCACCTATATCAGCCTCCTTTAGGCCTACCAGTAATTAGAGGCCCTCG